ATGCTCAGTAATGCCATGCATCATAGTAACTTTATTGCCTTACTTGGATGGTTAAATTTTTCTTTTAAATGTATCCAAAACTTCTGTATGTATTTGCATCTGCATTTTTTTGTAATATTCTCTTATAATACATTACTATTTTCAGCTCAAATATTACATTAATGACAGAAAGTTACTTAAAAGATTCTGTGTGCCCAATAGCTTTGTATGTCAGTATCAGTCAGGATTGGAAATATAAACATCATCTTTGGTTAATCCAACTTTATGAAAATAATGTGGAAGGTTTATGTTCATGGGTTTATTGTCATATTTTGTATTATTTGCTATGTCAGTTTGTTCATTGGCAAAATCTGAAACAAAGACACTGGTACATATTTCCAATTGAATGCAATAAACAATTTACAAGTTAAAAACATCTACATTTGTCATTAAGAATTTCAGCTCTCAAAATAAAAAATAAATTGCACTGCACCACTATCATCTAAAACTTTTCATGCTGACTGGAGAAAATATATTTCTTGTGATGCACACGCATAACATTTGTATGTTCTATCCAGTAGGTTAACCTGCCACCCATATATATATATATATATATATATATATATATATATATATATACATACTGAACAACTGACAATGCTTTTAGTGAATTAAGAATTTAGCTTACCAAGCAAATATGTGTGTCATCATCTTAGTAGAACAGCCATAAAGAGTTTAAACAAAAAAATTTTAAAAGTATTTAAATTTTGGAGATTTATTCATATGCCTGAACCTTAAAAATGACCAGAAACTTAGGTTGAAAGCATTCTATGACTAACATTCAGACAATAACAATATTCACTGAATGCAACTATGTGCCTTTTCATATGTAAACAAGTACACAAAGAATAAATAATACCCTTGCCTGTCATTTTAATGAAACATTAAATATGAGAGAAAGAAGTGTCTATAATTAGAGACAGCACTAGCCAGGTACACTCTCTGAGATGGCAGCTATCCAAGCACATTTGAAATGAGCTGTTTTTTAAAATGTATCTGCAAGAAGTTTAGTAAAAGCTACATGCACAAAGAGATTTAAATCCAGTGATTAAAAGAGACAATGGAATACTGGAAAGTCAGCTAAGTGTGCCACGATGAAGTGTTACAATATCTTACTGGAACAAACCACCATTGAGAAATGGCAAACATTCCTGCAATAAGAGTTGTATGTCATAACAGACTTCACTTTTCGCTAGTTTCTTCATACTATTATAGGGCTAACATCATCTTGTGCAACACTCAACTGACAGGCTTGATCTATAGCCTCACATGGTCTCCTTCAAACACAAATTCAATTTCACATTTGAACTGGTGACAGTGATCGTTTTCCATCATCCAAAGTTGAAGCAGTACAACTACTAAATTTGTGTTATGATTTGATACAATTTTCCTGACTTCAACCGTGTCAATTACTGACAGTTCTTATTCTTGGATTACTTAGGGATGACTGCAGTTTTTACATGCTATGACTGTTTATACTCTAGCTACTGCTGCCCAAGAAAAATCTAGAGCAGTGAGAGTGACTCATCATTCTGTCTCTAACAATTATTACAATCAGTGTTAAACTCCACCCATTTATTACATAATAGGTAGTGTAGCTGTGGCAGTCTACAATGACTGCCACAGCTATACTACCTATTATGAAGAAATTTTGAAAAAACAAACAAAAATCCTTAAATGTAGTTAAATGAATTTCTTTCATTTAACTACATTTAAGGATTTTTGTTTGTTTTTTCAAAATTTCTTCATTCTGTCGGATTTATATCCATTTACACTTGCTTATATACTACCTATTATGTAATAAATCATGCAGCTAAGTCAATTTCTAAAAAGTTAATTTTTAATTCTAATTTAATATTTTTGTTACTTCAGTTTATACATAAAAAGTATATATAAAGCTTTGAATAATTTTTTAAAATTCTTTTATTGGTATATTTGTTCAAGCAGAAAAAATACTGAAACAACTAACAAAAGATTTTTTATGTAAAACAGAAAATAAATTTAAAAAGTTAAAATATAGAAAAAAGCAGTGAAGTAAAATTTCCATTTTATCCAAACATTATTATGAAAAGGTTTAATTCAACATTTTTAGCAAAAGAAAAAATAAATACAAATAGCAACAATGAAAAAATAAACCTGAAAAATGTGTTCATAAAGAAGAAAATGTTTTTAGTGCATCTGTGAAATCACAAATGTGGAAACTTAAGATAATTAAAATAGTACATATTTTTAAAATTAAAATAGTTATGAAAACAAAAAGTAAAAAGCAAATAAGAACTGAAAAGCAAACATCTTAACCAACAGAATAAAAACAGGGATACATCTACTCAAGTATTTTTGTCTTGGTTAAAAAAAAATGGATATAGTTGTGAGTGATTTCCACTTGTAAATCAAATTTTCAACAGAACAAAATATTCATTAGCTACAAAAAAGCATTTCTGCATACATAGGCAGGGTGTTTAGATGTGATACATTTATTTCTAAAACTTTCATTTTTATTTTATATAAGCATTAAGCATTTCTAATATGATTAATTTTAATTCATCTTACTGTTGCTTTTTATTGTAACATTCTGGTTTGATACATTCTTTATTATTATTATTTTCCTATTTGATACTTTTTCCCCATACACACACTCTTTGAAGAGATGGCAAAATGATTTCAAATTTGTGTTTTGTTAAATCATCAAAGTAATTAAGGCAGCATTAAAAAAAGATAAACTCTCAAGATGAGTTCAAGTCTTGTCAAAATTTATTTTTATTGCATCTACTTTCATGTTGTTTTCTCTTGGGGTGAAAAGTTTATCAATCCAAGTGTTGTAATAAAAAGAACAATAATAAGATAAAGTAATTTTTTTTTAATTAAAAATTAAACCTTAGAGTAATAAATGGTTTAGCTTTAATATCATGACATTAAAAGTGAAAAATGTCTCCTCTAGTTATTTTTAAGAAACACAAGAATATTACTTGCTTAAAAAAAAAAAAAATATTTAAAAAATCTTTAATAAAAAAATATCTTACAAAATATCACACACCTCTTTTCTGCTTACTAAGGATTGTGGAATATGCTGCAGGTTATAAAAATAAAAAAAATTTAAATTAAAATAAAAAAAAAATACTAATAAAAAAATTAACAATACTTTATCTAAGAAGTATATTAAAAAATGAAACAAATTTATTCATTCCCCACCCTTTTATTTTATATAATTTATAATTTAGTATTAAAGATAAATCTGACTGGAAAATGTGACCAAAAATTGTTCAAAATGCAGAATCAATTACTAACAGAACATTTTCTCCTTTAATAATACCTTGACAAATGAAATATTGAAACAAGATTTTTTTTCCTATTAAAAGGAAATAAAAAATTAGAAACACAGCCTCTTCTTAAAAATAATTTTAAGATTATTTTTGATTAGATCTTAATCTCACTTCCATGCTCAGAAAGGAATTATTATAAAGTATTATTGATTGTATTACTTTTTAGAAAGAATCTTAAAACATAAATTTATTTCTAAATTAAGAAAGAAATATTTCATAAAAATTCAAGTCAAAATGCTTGTGTTATTCATTATCATCAAATAGTCAGGTTTAAAAACAAGCCCAACCAAAAATCTTTCATGCTGGTTACTCCAAAAACAAAAACTGTTGTTTGTTTTTTTTTTTTTTTTTTTTCAAAATAGACATGTATTAAAAAAATTCACTGGTTTAAAAAAATGTATATTGATCCAGTTGTAAGAAAATGCTATACCTTACAATAAAATGACAAATAAAAATGTCATATCAGCAATCTTAAGTCAGTCAAATTTTACCTTTCAAATTAATCGACTACATTTTGAAATAACAACTGTCCTTAAAAACAAAAAAAAATACTTATATAAATGATAACAACCACACATCATAGTATCTTTTTAAATGTGTGAAAACTAGACAACATTGCTTCTGACTATTAACTGTTTCAACATAAATTAATGGGAAAACAAGAAAAGGAAGAAATTTAAACTTGACAAATGAAATATTGAAACAAGATTTTTTTTTTTTTTTTAATTATTTATAAATGGGTGCTGTAAAGTTTTTGGCTTGACCAAATAACCAAACAAGAATTTTAGGTGCAATCCCTTTGTCAGGTCAAGGACCTTTCAGGCTGCACACATACTCTAACCCATTTATGCTTTTACAATGTCTGAACAAAATGCACTTTCACCGGCTTATACATTTGCAGACAATACAGCCCAGTTTAATATCACATCAAAAAGATTTTAGCAATGAGTATATTTTTTCCTTTTTTAATTACAAAGTAAATGAGAATCTATATTTACAGTTTTAAGTGCCCAGAAAAATTCAATAACATAAATATAAAAATTTATTAAAGCAATCAACTTAATCTACAAATCTGAAATAAAAAAGAAAGACTTTATGCTTGTCTAAGTTAACAATGTATTAAGAGAGAATAAAAGTATTTCATCAGATCTAAGTTCTTCAATGAATGAATGCAACACTTGAAATACATTAAAGCATAAGGAAGCTTTGCTTTAAGACATCCATGGCAACAATGACATTTCAACCATCAAAGTAAAAAGTAAAAGAATTCTAACACTTGCCAAACTCTTTTCATCAATGAATTAGAATTAAAAAAAAAAAATTGAAAAATCACAAAAGATTTATTGCATGATTTCAGAATTATAATCAAAATTCCAGTTTAAAAATGTAGAAATTATCCCAATTCAAAGTTTTCAGCTAAATCAGTAACAGTAAAGCATCTCGGATTGTGTACAACTATAAAATCTAGGGAAACAATTTGGTTACTAAGTAGAGACATTTTTGTTTTAGAAATGCATCTATCTACAAGTATAACATTTCAGAGCGAAAATATGAAATTGGAAAAATTTATAACAAAAACATTTGTGTATATCTGGAAAAGGTGTTATTGAACAAGGCATTTTCACTGCTTTTCTAGCTTACTGCTGGGAAGATCTGAAAGAAAAAGAAAAATTGTTCAAATATACATTTTTGAACAAAGATTGTAAAAATTAAAAAAAATATAGATAATGCCACTTTTAACACCAGCAGAAGTGATTAAGAAATAAACAAAGAATGGCAACTAAGCAGGGAAAATGGGAAGGGAAGAGAGAAAGAGTTAGGCAAGAAACAAGGAGAAAGATTATCCAATGATGGTGGCAGGAGAAAGGCATTGCATTTGAGAGGGGTGAAAACGTGCTTTCATCTTAGGAAAAAATAAAAATAATAGAGGTTCTAGCATCCAAATTAGTTAGAAAAAATGATTTGCAAATTTGGTCAATTTCCACTGATTTTCAGAAACAAGTATCACTCACTTTTGATAGGACTATTTCAGATAATTACTAATTCTAAATATTACAAGACTCTAAGTTGGAAGGATCTCCAGGTTGAAGATAAGAGAATTTTAAATGCATCCTCTTATGAGAAATTGGTAACTTAGATTTGTGTGGAGAGAAATAGAATGAAATATGTGTACCTAGTGAATTATTCAAGTTCAATTATTAAAATGCCGATATAACAAAGCCGAGTATTGAGAATGTTTCCCTGAAATATTAACTGTGCTAGATTTATTGTACAAAATGATGCTGAAAAGCTCTTGGTCTAATATACTTGCCAGAATTTTTACCAGATGATTAAACATTAAAATTCATTTTGTATCATAGTCAGGTTAAGAACTTTTCAGCATTCCATCATTATAAACAACTTTCAAATGTTGTTTTCAAAAGTAATGTAATTTAATTTTAATAAGAAGTTTGATGAACACTGATAATGTCCATGGCTATTAACTTTTAATCACAATAAATGTGCCTATGATTTTATTATTGAAATTAGATATGAAGAATTAATATAAAATGGTCATATATTTTATGCAGAAATTATGTATCTATAAAGCAGGTTAAGCACTTGAGACAAGGATAATTTATCGACAAAATATCTTGTTAGCAACTCAAAAACAATCTTAACTTAAACAGCTTTCATTATTAATCTTTTCATCTTTTCATTATAATCTATAATTATATTTAATCACTATCTGATTAACTGCAAAAACAAATCTTAAAACAAACATTTTGTAACGAGCATGCGCGGAAGCGTCCTCGAACTGCGTGTGTGTGTTGTCGCTGGGCACACCTTGGAGTAACATAATGGACTCAACCGAGGACTACAAGAAGAAGACGCGCGAGTCGTTTGGTGACTTTTCTTGGGCGACAAAAGCTGTTGCAGTCGGTCGTCCATCGGCAGCAGTCTTGGGTGCCATTTTACTCATTTGCTGTCATAAAGTGTTTGTCCGGAAGAGAAGGCGTTCGTTTCAGGTGTGCAAGAAGGCGTTCGTTTTTGTGTCACGAGAAGTTATTATTTTTTTCCCCGTTTTCTCGCACAAGCTATTTCGGCATTATGGCCTTCGACCCGAAGCTGATACCACTGTTCGACAGAAGCGATTCTGGAAAGTCGGTAGTGGAATGGTTGGAGAAGGCAGAACTAATATGTCAGTTGAGCGGTGTGAAGCGAATTGAGTGTATTATCCCGATGCGTTTGGCAGGTGGTGCATATGCTGTGTACCAGCAATTGAGTGAGGAGAAGCACGCAGACTTCAATTGCATTAAGAAAGCGTTATACATGGCTTTCGCCTTAGATCCATTCTCCACGTGGAAGCAGTTTGCAGCACATCGCCTTCAGCCAGGGGAGACGGTCAACGTCTTTTTGGCAGAACTGCGCAGACTCACAGTTCTGTTTGGTGGTGTATCAGAAAAATGTTTGCAGTGTGTATTCATTGCGGGATTGCCTGAGCATGCAGAGGAGCTTTTAAGAGCATCATCCCGGATGGAAGACCTGGATTTGTCACATGTGCTGGCACGAGCTCGTGCTAATTTGAAGAAGTGCACTGGTTCTACGGAGCAGGCTGTAGTGGCTGCACAGTTGAAGGAAACAGATGTGAATACAAGATGCTATAAATGTGATGGCCCCAATCATAGTGCGAGTAATTGTCTCCTGGATCGTGAACCATCCAAAGGTGCTGGTACCAAGTACCGACAGACCATCACTTGCTATCGATGTCATCGGCAAGAGCACATTGCTCGGTGTTGTCCGGCAAGAGGGCGAGAATTCAGCACCAATCTCCTCCCCAAAACCCTTGTAAATGGCACATTGCCTGTAGTGACAGTTCGTATTAATGGAATACCACATATAGCTCTGGTGGATACAGGATGCACACAGTCACTAGACCGCAAGTCATGCTGTCGAGCATGGATAAGAAAATCAACATGCATGCTTACAGTAGACAGAGGCACACTTGACTGCTGTAGAATCAGAGTGGTACAAGTTAGCGTTGGTGCAAAGCCGTCTATCGCTATGGAAGCCCTAGTCATGGACAGAGACCTGCTTGGATTTGACTTGCTGCTCGGACTAGACGCCATCAAACAGTTGGGAGGAATATCTGTAACTGGCACCAGTGAGGTGAAGTTACCACAGTGTGTTGAACCAGTCGTTGCTGCTATCACCATTACTGAGCCCGACTTTAAAGTAGAATTCGATGAGACCACTCTGAGGTGGACTGCATCTTGGAAATGGGCTGGCAACCAACCTCCGGCACGTTAAGAAATAGACTGGCAGAATATCCAGCTCCCGCACAAATTCGAGCAGGCGATCGAACTCCAGATTTGGATGAATAACGGCTGGCTGCTTCCTTACCCAGAGGAGGAACTTGGAACCCCAAAGGGTTTAATCCTCCTCATGGCCATTCTGCAGGAAAACAAACAGAAGGTTCAGCCCATTATGGACTATCGGGAACTCAATGAATATGTTGACACGTACACGGCCAACACAGATGTTTGTTCTCAAAAATTGCGGGAATGGCGTCAGCAAGGACCAAATGCTGCAGTGCTGGACCTATGCCAGGCCTATCTGCAGGTACACATTGACAAGTCCCTTTGGCCATTCCAAACAGTGGAGATTAAGGAACAAGGGTATTGTCTAACCCACTTAGGATTTGGACTCAATGTTGCCCCTTTAATCATGTTGGCCATTGTTAATACCGTCTTGAGCCAGGACGAGATCATCAATGCAGCCTCCTCTTATATTAACAACGTTTTTGTTAATGAGAGTGTGTATTTTGTGGTCCGCATCAAGGAACATTTGGAGCAGTTTGGTCTGTCAAGTAAGACCCCGGAGTGGCTAAGAATTGGCACACGCATGTTGGGATTGCATGTCTGGGAGGAGCAAGGAAAACTGCGATGGCGTCGTGGATGTGAACTTCCGGTAGTCCCCGATAAACTTACCAGCCGAATTGTCTTCTCACTATGCGGGAAATTGACTGGTCATTTTCCAGTATGCGGTTGGTTACATGTCGCCATGGCATTTGTGAAGCAGAGGGCAAACAAAACACTGTTACCACTGGATGGGATGATAATGTGCAGGACCCTTTTCTAGCCCAGATGATCGACGACATTTTTAAGAGACTAGCCCAGGACAATCCAGTGAAAGGTGACTGGTGTATTAGTGAGCAAAATGTAACCATGTGGGTAGATGCAAGCTTCTTAGCCACCGGTGTGGTTGTGGAGAGCAATGGCACCATGGCAGAAGATGCAAGCTGGCTCCGACCGGTGCACAAAGACAAGCACATCAACTTGGCTGACCTTGATGATGTATTGCGAGGTGTCAACCTTGCATTACAATGGAGGCTAAAACCATTCATTTACGGACAGACTCAGTATGTGTGCATCACTGGGTAACTGACATTCTGTCCGGACAGACGAGAGTGTGCACCAAGGCACCCTCCAAGATGCTAATCAGACATCGGCTAGCCACACTCCAAGAGTTGGCCTTAAAATACGAGCTGGACATTGATATAGAGCTTGTCAAGTAGTGCAACAATTAACCCGACCAACTTACAAGAGTATTGCAGTGATAGTTAAATGAAATGCGCAAAATAACGGAACCCAGAGAACCTATGTGCGCTGTGGTTGAAGAGCAAGATGTTTAAACGAAATGCTGAGCCATTCATCAATCCAGCGGACATCCTGGTGTGAAGAGAACACTCTATTTTGTCAAGTTGATCGACCCAAGAGTAACAAAATCTGAGGTGCAAGCGGTGGTTAGGGGATGCAAGGAATGCCAGTCAATCGACCCGGCTCCTGTGCGTTGGAAACCGGGCAGGCTTGATGTCGCTGAAAATTGGCACAGGGTTGCGATGGATGTAACCCATTTCGGACATCAACTATACTTGATGCTGATAGACTGTGGCTCCAGTCGTTTTGTCATTTGGAAGCCCTTGCACCGCAAAGACTGCTAGCATCATCAACCAGTTGGAAGTAGTGTTTTGTGAAAGAGGGCCACCAATTGAGATGCTTATGGATAATGGTGCAGCGTTTTGTGGAGAGAGGTTTGCCGCTTTTGCAAAGATGTGGAATGTACAAATACGATTTCGCTGTGCCCACGTACCATCTGGGAATGGGATAGTTGAGAGTTCCCATCGTACAATAAAGTGCATTGCGACAAGAACATGGTGTTCAGTTTTGGAAGCTGTATATTGGCACAATGTTACCCCAAAGGACAATAAAAGGGCTTCAAGTGCACCGGCAAATGCAACCTACACCTACAGGGTTCACATTAAGGGTATCGACGCAGCTTTGGTGTGTGATGACACCGTTGCCAATCCTTATACGGTAGGAGAGACTGTCTGGGTGAAAAATCCACACAGAAGGTGTACGACACAGTTCAACAAGGGTACGGTGACACAAATTAATAGTCCACACTCCGTCTCTGTTGATGGAATACTGCGCCACATAAAAGATGTGCATCCAGCGTGCGGGAAGGATTATTCCGTCAGCAACCACGTTAGTTCTTCTTCTGATGATGATGAAGCCCCAATGGTATATATAAAATCACAGGAAGAGCACACCTCAGAGAGTAGCGAGCATGATGAACCTATGCGGGATGAGCTCAGAAGAGAGCACCACTGAGGAAGTGCTTGAGACCATACCACTGAGACAGAGCACCAGGCAGAAATGGCCTGCCCCACATTGCCATTTGTGTGATCTTGAGATCAGGGAGGAGTGTAACAAGCATGTGTGGAAGCGTCCTCGAACTGCGTGCGTGTGTTGTCGCCGGTCACACCTTGGAGTACCATAATGGACTCGACCAAGGACTACAAGAAGACGCGCGAGTCGTTTGGTGTCTTTTTTGGGTGACAAAAGCCGTTGCGATTGGTCATCTGTCGGCAGCAGTCTTGAGTGCCGTTTTGCTCATTTGCTGTCGTAAAGTGTTTGTTCGGAAGAGAAGGCGTTCGTTTCAGGTTCGCAAGAAGGCGTCCCCCCCCCCAGTTTAGAATTCTCTGTAGGTTACCCAGATCAGTATTGTTACATCTTTTCACAACAAAAACTCCTAACCTTACCCTTTTTTACACATAGAAAACCATTTCTCTTTCCATCTCTCTAATAATATAATAGATTAACTCCCTCTGACTCTTTAAATCTGTAATAGTAGTCACTGACTACAGGAAAATCAGGTCAAGACAGGCTTGTGACCCCAGCAACAGATCTAAACAAAAGCTAAAAATTAGATTCTCACAAATCACATGTTCAAGAACAAGTTACCAGTAAGAGGAAATGAATATTGAGGGAGTTGGACCAGCCATGAAATCATCTTGTGAATAGATTCGCCAAAGAGAAGGAATACCATCCCCAACTAACAAACTCACAATAGAAAATGAAGACAAGATCTAACTCAACTCATCATACTATGCTGCATATCCCAAAGGCACAGGTGAATTACTAGTGTGATAATCACCTAAGACAGGCATGTGTGACTCTTTCAATTGGACAGCACTGAATCTTCCTACCCGAATGATGAATTCTACATTGTTGAATATATGAAGAAGGGAGTAAATGACCAACTTTTGAGGTCAAAACTCATAACATTTAAGAAAGAACAATATGGCAAAAGATATTGCTGCCCTAGCAAAAAGAAGTGAAAGTAAAAAGAACAAAGAGAAATATAAAACAAAAGAGAAAAGAGAAAACCCTATTTCAGGCGAATAGCCAACACTAAGTGAATTTTGACCTTCCAGGTCAGACATCTAACACATACATCTTTCCATATAGACGGGTATAGCACACACCTTTCCACACATTCCCTTGCTTTAATGTTTTCATGTATCATCTCGTTATAATTAAATCTTGTTAATTTGTATATTGGGATTACTGTTGGTTGTTTTTCCTCATTTCTGTAGAGAATCCTTTCCACTATGGAATGGTCAACCTGGGTATATACTTTTGGCGACATTTTTTTTCTTTTCTTTTTAAATTTTATGCTGTCGTAATTGTCCATAACAATATACACCTCGTTGGTTCGAGGGCACAATGACTGAAACATTGTGATATTTTGGTTTTATTTTATTTTATTTTCAGCTGGTTTATAATACTGATAACAGAATTTTTATTTGTCTCCCTTTGTCCAAAATACTAAAAGACCTGAAAAGTACCAACTGATAATGTTTGGTCAGAAAATTGAGAATGAGAAGGATTTAAGAGTGAGAGAAATATTATCTTATATTTACCTAGCAATTGTAGTCTTTAGAGATTTCAAAAGTTTCAGGCTGAAGTTTCTCCCCGGCTTTATTGACACAATAACAAACAGAACCTATGCATTGCTTCTTTTTATAGTTGCCTTGTTTGTCACAAGCAAACAGTCTGCCGATAAGCTTCTTTCTTTCGTATTTTTCCATGACAGCGGCACATTCTGAAAAAGTGTTAAAAAGTTTCAAAGTAAAATTTTTACAGATAGCTTTAATAAATACATCAAAAATTTCATTTACTCTCACAATTACATTTATAATAACATTGTTTACTCTGATGATAGGTAGGGAAAACATTTTTTTTTAATTAAACATTAATCCTAGTTCTATTTTATCACCGACTGGATTTGAGCATAGTAACCATAGACAAGTTTTGGCTTTTCCTATCAATGCCTACTTACTTACAACACCATCATTTCCTCACTTAGGTTATTTTCTAAACACACTAAATATTTCTAATGATAAGAAAAAAAATGTGATGTTAAGCATCAACATTTGGCAATATTCAGTACTTAACTTGTACTTTTTCTTTTTCCTTTTAAATGCCATGTCCCTTCAGGATGGAGGTGATCATTGGGCCGCACGTGTTCATTTCCTTATATGTGAACTGCTACATTTACTTGGGAAAGATAGTTAATTTTTGGTTGGTTTTGATTAGTGGCATATCAACCTCTATGGGTTATTTAATGCCAAAATCTAAATATTTTGTATGCAATTTTTTTTTTTTAGATAATAATGGTTTTAGTGACACAAGTCTAACTAACTAACCCATAGCTGGGGGAAAAAAAAGAGGTTGATTCATACCTTTTTTCCCCCAACAGTATTTGTGAACAAGTGAATATAATGAACCCAACTGGAATTGGAACTAAGCTCTCCAGTTAACAATTCCAGGACATTATCTATTACACCACCTGCACACCCAAGCTTACCTCACCTGTTAATTCCCAAGCAGTCACCCATCTAGGTACTGATGACACTCAAATTTGGTGATCATATGGAAAATAGTGTTTCAACATCATGTGGCTGTAAGCCAAAGATAGTGGAGTAGTTTCCCATTGTCTTATCCAGAGTTTTGAATTCAGTTTTCTTTCTCCTGTACTGGTTACCACCAAGACTAATAAATCCAGTCTACCCTACTATTTTAGCAGAAGAAGAGAAATTAATGAGCAAAAATGAATGAAATTGGCCTGAATTTGAATTTGACTGACCAATTCCATATTTTGAGTTATAATCTTTATGTCATGTATTGAAAAATCTGGAGAAATTCTGTCAATGGTTAGAAATTAATGCAGACTTTCCTAAGAAAATAGAGTAATTACATAAGTCTTTTCTCTAGAAAAATACATGGAAAAGCAGAAAAGAAAAAATTGTTAGTAGTCAGAAATTAATACAAGTGCTACTGACAAAATAAGGCTATGAAATATTCTTTTTTTATCATTTTAAAGTCTTTTGTTTTCTTTTACGCTCAAAAAATAATCTGAGGACTATCTTTGAAATTTACTACATTTGTTAGCATATAAGACACCCCTCCCCCCATTTACATCTAATATTCCAGTATTATGAAGTCACATCAAGTACTGGGTGTTTACAGCATATAGTTAAACATCAGCCTACCAGATATCTCAACAATTTTTCTCCCAGAAGTGGTTAAAAAAATGAAGAAACTTATATGCAACCAAATACATTGTTGTGCTAATTAAATTCATATAACCGTCTAAACTAATTTCTATTAGAGTGCAGACAACAGAGACAAGCAAATTTATTGAGGAACTCATATAGAATTCTAAATATACTTAGTACTTACCCTTTTTATAAAATCTTATTACTTCTTAAAACAGACATTTTCAAATATGTTCAAGTTTAAATATAAAAAACAAATATTTAAAAATGAATTACTATTTATGCAGATAATTATGCAGATATAAAAAAATTAATTACGTATGAGTACTGTTTTGTAACAAGAACTTGACAATTCACAAGTGCTAGTCTTTGATTGTGGATTTGTATTCAGAATATTACTCATGAAGATTCCAATACAAACACGGAATGCGAAGAACTTCCAAATTAACTAATACTAGAGGAAGATGTCAATTGAAACAATGTGGACAAAAGAATTAGTAGTATAAAAATGATACAATTTTCTTTTAAATTTAGCAAACATTTCAGAGGTCAAGTCAAGTAAATGTCAAAGAAATTTTCTATATAACTCAAGCAGAGTAACTAAATTTAGAAAAAGATGAAAAAAAAAAAAAAAACAATGTTAGAAACTTTTTTTTTAGAAAAGTCAATTAAAAAAAATTATTGTTAAAATAGCACTGAAAAAAAAAAAAAAAATTATTGTATATTGAATTAAACTATTGTGTATATTTTGCTTATTATAGATATTATTATAGACCTGAAGATGACAAATGTATAGGGGAATAAATTTTCTGCAATCATGGAATTATGGTCAGAATCAAGAAAATGTTAATCTTTAATTTTTAAATCAAATAATTAATTTGTTATTTATTATTTAAAATTACATTAAAAACCAAGATTCTGTTTAAACAGAATCTGTGTTTTTAATGTAAAATTCTTTCAAAACTTAATAACTGTCTTCCAATTTTTTTAAACAATTTATTAAATATAACAATAACATAATGTAGTTATTTCCTTAAAATTTGTCTTTACAAATATTTGTAGTTATTTTTCCTTTTAAAACCTGAAAAAGAATTAACAAAAATGTTTAAATATGAAAAAGAAAACTGGTTCTTCGATTTTCTGAGAATATATTGGCTAGTCTATTTTTAAATATTTTAAAACTTTTCTAAGAAACTCTATATAGCAAACAAGAAGAAAGTCAGAATGTAAGCTCGGTTGTGGCCACCAGGATCCATTGCTGAAGTGGAAATAGAGAAAATTGGAAGTGGACAGAGACGAAGATCAAACCAATAATTTTAACAAATTCATTTCCTTTAAAAACCTCACACAATTTGCAAATTGTAGCCTTGTTTTATGAATATGAAAGAAAAGTAAATACTATCACATGCCTACCATACAATTTAGAAATAAAGAAAAAATTTTTCCAAAAACACTATTCTATGATAGACTGGTTTGTCTACTCCAAAGCTTACCGCCACATAGTGATTCTCCCAGATAATTAATTGCATCATTTTCAGTGCTTCACCATTGTAAAAGAGATTTAAATTTTGGAATACAAATAAGAGCAAATGTCCTCTTCTGGAACAGATTGCCAATAAAATCATATGGACCAGTGTAGATACAGAATGTTCATTTTCTCAGTATAAACATTTACTCAATAAACAACGTGAAAGTTTTACACCTAAGAACATCAAGCAATTCACAAGGTTGTATTATAATGGAGATTTAGAGAAGAGATTAAAAGATTAGATATTTTCCAAATTAGGAAATTAGCAATTTTAAACTTGAGTAGTATTTCAACTTGGGTTTAGTTGTTTTATTTAAATTTTGAATTAATATGTCTAATTTGTTTTTTGACATTTTGTTACAAAGATTCACTTATTATGGTTTAATTACTGTTTTGTAAAATTTTAGTCAAAATGTTTGACTTTATTCAGATATTATTGAGATTCAAGTTATTTGCAGTTGATACTTTAAATGCGATTTTTATATTATGAATCAATAATTATAAATCAATCTAAATACTTTTACTTAAAAAAAACAAAAACAATTTGAATGTGTTCTTAAAGAAGGAAGCTTTGATTAAAAGTTCTACCTCAAAGATAATTATGCACTGTAACATTCCATTGTTTCATTGTCTGGCCATTTTATATTTTTTTTTTTATTTTTATATATATTTTTGAACTTGGATTTTAACATTTAAAAAAAGATTTGTAGATATTTGCTGTTTCTTTATATGCAATAAAAATTTGAATTATGTTTTCAGTTTTAATAATAATTATAGCATAATGAATTGCAAATTTCTCATAAAATACTATAAAAATGGGAAAAATGAAATTTCCCAAAAGTAAAAACAGAAAAAAACGGAATTTACCAAAAGTGGAAACGGAATCAAGGAAAATTTGAAATGGAAAATCAGGGGCCCTAAATGTAACTACAATGTCTATATCACTCAAGAAGAGAACAATGGAATGAATACATCAATGTATAATGATCACAGCTTCTCATTTCAGAAATGAAATTAAAGAAGAATGTCAAGTTACAGGAAACTGAAAGTTGAAAAATGCGTGCTTAAAAAAGTCCTCATTTGGGCTGAATTTTTGACTAAACCTCCAGCCATTTTTTTATTTTGAGTTCAAGTTGTGTCAAGCATTGCAAAAACAAAGGTCTGATACTCTGGTGACTAGTGACATTACAAAACCAAACTTATTTGAAACAAATGAAATGAAATATCCTCTGGTATGAAGAGCAGAAAGAGAATGTACCCACAGGGACTGAATAAAATGTTCAATTTCAATTTTCAGAAAATCTCACTCTAACAGACACCTAAAAAGGTTGGAAAGTAATACGGGTAAAAAGTGACCAAAACAAGCAAAATGAGGATACTAGTAAATCAATGAAAATAGCCAAAGTCTAGAGTTGTGCAATAAAAACTGAATGACATGTCCTAGGTATGTTATTTTGAAACTTCCCATAAAACAGAGGATGTGTAGTAGATATGTATATGTGTCTTGGGTTAGCAAATATGACAGATTTATGGGGAACTGATTAAATACTCTTAAATTAAAAAGGCTAAAACAATGTCCAGTATTAAAAGACTGATAAATTAACTTACTGCAAGAGTATGGAGCAATGTGTTCTTGCTTTAAAAGTTCATATCTGTGAAGTTGTTCTCCTTCATAAACACAGAAACATCTGTAAAATAAAATATAAAAAATACCAAATTTTCAGAGACCCAATCACTGTTTGTAAATAGGCCATGTGTTAGCAACAACAAAGCCCATTTGAAGCTAAAAACATCTGAGATAAAACATTAATGTGTCTGTCAGGTTAAGATGATAATTAGACAGAATAGACCTTTTCTAGTCGTAACATTTGCTTTCATGCCTGACAATTGATATTTTCTTTATTTTCAATGCAAAAACCAGTCTACCTAATAGAGTATTAAAAGGTCAAGATTTGAGCCGATTTTCTAAACCTTTGTGGTGTGGGCTTCCTTTTTATTGCCTTTTTTGGTTATTAAAACCAAAAGTCAAATGCAAGTACCATATATACTTGCAGATAGGTTGCACTTGTTTTACCAAAAATTTCACAAAATATTAGGGGTGTGACATAAATGTAATGTTAGGGGTGTCGACATAAATGTAAAACAACACTACCTTGTCATCATGATTTCTGAGAAATCGGAAATGATGCCTATAAATACTAAAGCTGTGGTTTTTCTCTGTATAGAAACAATTTATCTATCATCTATACTGACTCACTGCTTTAAACTTACCTCATGCTGCTAGATTCACATATTCATCACAATAATTAAATAAAATTATAAAATATTCATTGATCCATCAGTCACCGTTCGGTCAGGGCCCTTGCACTAGGCTGATATAGAAACCCTGAACATGCATACATAAGTTAAGAAAACACGTGTAGATGTTTATTGACAAAGAAAAAATAGTCCCACAATACATTCTATAAAATATATATATTTTGTCAAAAATACATTGGAAAATATGACTTAAAGAAATGAAATATATTCTTTAAGATAATTTTCTTTAATGGTTGTTTCATATAATATTAAAAGGCATTCTTAAGTCTTATTTACAAATAACAAAGCACATGAATCTAGTACCCAAAACATTTACAGTGTTTTGCATTGTGCAGTGATATAGTTGGTAACCAAATTTATAGTTTATAATTTTAATTGTTGCTAACCCTAATCATGAGTAAGAGAAAGAGTTATGAAGTAGGTTTTAAATTAAAAGTACTAAATTATGCATAAGAACATACATTGGATGAGAGAAAGCTGGTGGTTATGTCTAAATATACAGGGTGCAATGGATAAATTGTTGTCTAAATTACAAAAAATGAAAATAACACACACATCTCATTTTAACAGATTTTTTTTACCGAAATTACACAAAAATATCTTGAAATACTAAAGAGTAAATTTATTCCATAAAATTGCCATTGGCTTCAACCATGGCCTCCAGACGACTTCAGAATCTCTTGCAACTCTTCTGGACGGTCTCTTGTTTAAGTTGGTCATAATCCTTGCCTTCAGTTCATCTTTGGTGTTACAAGGAATTTGTTGGTCTCTCATTCAACTGCACCCCACACATAATAATAAAAGGGGTTGAAATCTGGGTAGTTATGTAGCCAGATGTAAGGGGTGATGTGGTCACAGAAATTGTCTGACATCCAAGACTGGGTTCTCCTGTTTGTGTGGCATGGTGCAGAGTCCTGTTGCCAGACAGAGGGTCTTTCAGCAGCCACCTTCTTGACCCAGGGCAGTACTATTTTCTCAAGTCACATTTATTCTTAAATATCACAATCAAACACCAAAGATAACATGGCCAATTTCATTAACACTCTCAGAGGAACTAACCTATTTCAAAGGGCTTCGTAACAAAGATCATTCCTTAAGAAAGCAATGGAGAATACAAAATAGTAGAAAGTTTTTTTTTAAAAATGTAACCTTGAGCAATATCTGAATCATAAGCATCAATTACTTACACAGAACCATTGCAACGAACAGTGTCAGGAATAGAATGATGCTGAGAAATTAATTTATTTCCATCTTCAGGAAACAATTTGGACATTACAATTGACTCTGAAAAGAATTAAGAAAGAAATATTAATAAAAATATTAGCAAATATCTAGAGGAAATTTGTTCACATTCTTATTTAACATTCACATCATCTTTATTACCTAACTAGCTTAAAAGCTGCTCTATCGGAAGAACTCGAAAATTGATTGTTGCATTTAAGCTTATCTTTTGTACATAGGTCCTTACTTTCCCTTCAGACAATTATTTTTATTTCATGGGTGACTTTCATTTCCAAGTTATAAAAATTGCTATTGCACAAAAAAAAAAAAAAAATGAAAAAACAATCACAGTAATGAAAACTTGGAGGTCCAGATCCAATCCAAAATGTTTTTAATTTGCTCACAGGGTCTGTACCATCCGAAAATGGTATATGTTGGGCTACTGCCTCTAGGAGTAAGGTTGAAATGGTATGATTTAAAATAGGTTAGTTATTTTTTGATGAAGTCATATCTATTATTTTTTTAATAGAATTTCTTTCATTTTTATTTTTGTTGCTTTTTATTACAAAAAAACAAAAAATCAGTGAAGATTGGAAAGAAACAGTAAAACTGCACAGAATGAGAATCTGGAAATTTTTCATTCATGATAATAGAATTGCAAAAAAAAAAAAAAAATGTAATAATTACTAGTCAAAAATAATGACAATATTGCATCTAAGAAATTCAAATATCTTAAAACTATTATGCCTATAACCAATCGAAAATAAGATTAAAATAAAATCACTGAAAGATTAATAAAAAATGGTTGCTGTTAAAAACAAAAAATTAAAGAGGTTTTCAATTCCAATATAAGATTATAAGATTATTGCTCAATGCTAAGATTCAGAAAATAAACTAAAATGAAGAAACCTAATTTCAAATTTATTATACAACCCTTGGTTTTGCAAAAGAAATATTTTTAAAAAAAAGTTAAAAAAAATAGAGGGAGGACCAAGCTGAAACTTGAAAGAAGGAACAAGTTAAACAAATAACATGTCAGAAATAAAACCTGTACATATAACTAAATAGAAAACCAAAAGATACAATATCAAAAAAAAAAAAAAAAAATAATTTACCCTTACTTGGTTCACATTTCATGGTATCTTGATCACACATCAAATCTGGTCCACACTGCTTCTGCGAAAGAGTTGTCATTACAATGGTCATCACACAACTCTCACCTTGCTCTACAAAGATATTTGTTTTAATTAAACAGAAAAGTTTCCATTGACTACAATTAACAATAAATTTCAATATGCACAAAACAATAAGTTCAGAAAATATTTTAATATGCACAGAACAATAAGTTCAGAAAATTCCAT